CCCTTGGCAGTTGGAATTCGATATAAGAGTAGGCCGTAGCGCCGCTGCCCGGGCAAAATTTCCCTCATAACACACTGTATGGCGTATGCCCGTCTTATTAGCCCAGAGGAGCAGAACAGTAGGACGTTAAACTCCATTTCATTTCATTTATGGGTTGTCATAATACTACACGTTCCCACGATTATAAATCAGACTCGAGGCCTACCCTGACTAGTTGAAAATTTTTAAATATAACTATTATTTTTAAGAATGTTTTGGATATCGTTTCGCCCAGCTGGTCGTCATTGTTTAGAAACAATAAATGTGCAATTTGTGTACAACTGAGTGTCATTTATATAAACTGTCATAAGGTGCACTGAGTATATTAATAATTAAAATAACCATTAATATATAAAAACGTAATAAAAGTTTGCATTTTACCCAGTTTCAAATAGCTAAAAGAAATTTATTTTGTTCGTTCTGCACGACTGTCTTTCATTTCTTGCTTCTCTTTCTCTGAAATATTGCACCAAATTGCCCGGGTTTTTTATTTGCCTAAATATCACTACCTTTTTAAAAAAAAAAGTTCCCAAATATGTTGTCCTCGATTCGCTTCATGGATAATTATGGATAATTGAAATTTTAATAAAGCCGCGTAATACCGACACTGGTAAGGTATATGAAAGCATGTCATATATTATATAAAAACGTGAAAAGTATATTTGCATTTACCAAGCTTCAAGAACTCCTAACATATCTTTATCGAAAATGTTGTATGCACATATGAAACTGAAGCAAAGAATGTAACAAACTCTTTTAAGAGCGTTGAATATGATAAAATGCCCATTTTAAAGCTAGCGCTGTAAGATATGATATGACATATTTTGTTATTTTGGGTGATAAAACACGTATCAATCACCAAGAAAATAACATTTTTTTACCAACTGTTCAGAAAATGGAAGAAAACTTAATTTAGAGTGATCCTGTATTTGTAGGTGTTTTTTTTTCAATTCGGTCTAGATTTGTCAAGACAAATAATTCCTGGTAATCTCACCAATTGATAAGCATCTTGTGGCGAGGAGATTAAGGTTGTTGATTAGGTAATCAAGTTTAGTTTGTTGATCATCATGGACGCCGCCGCACGATCATAATATTAATCAGATTGGTGTACAATTGGCTAAAGTATTTATAATATATACGGGGATCACGTGGCTAAGTGAGTAAGACGCTGGCTCGCTAGCCTAGAGGTCGGGTGTTCGATTCCTGCATTGGCCGAGAAAGTTCATCCAGATTTTCCGGCGTGATTCCCCCTTGTCAGTGATACAGGACGGAGGGCCTGACAAGGCGGCTGTCTAGTTGTTCGGATGGGACGAAAAACCGAGGTCCCGTGTACACATTGGCGTGCACTAAAAGATCCTTTGACAGTTGGAATTCGATATAAGTGTAGGCCGTAGTGCCGCTGTCCGGGCAAAATTGCCCTCATAGCACACTGTATGGCATATGCCCAGTTCGGAGCAGAACAGTAGGACGTTAAACCCCATTTCATTTCATTTCATTTATAATATATACTGGCTTTAAGTACAAACGATTTTGATATGACCATTTTATCTGCTCTTAAACCATAGTGTTTTAGATAATAAATCAGACGAATAAAACGCAAATAACGAGAAGACAAACCAAATGTGGAGTGAAATTAATAAAAGCAATATAAATTTTGGGACAGTGTGCTAATTTTAGGAAGACTTTTAATTTGTAACAGTCCTCTATATTTGCTCGGGGCAATTACGACGACCATTTCCTAACTCTGTATCATTAACTGACAAGCATAACTGGCTATATAATCCAGATATCCCTTGCAATGTAATGTGAAATGCGATATGAAATCCTTGGCTATTATATTTCTCTACCTATAGAGAGAATAAAAACTGAAATACTACAGAAGAAACTAGTCCAGTTGGTTTTGCGATTTGAACCCATATAAGAATTTGCTACTTTGGAAACAAACTTTGATGAGTGAAACTTGTTCAACAATATGCCACTGAATTTATGGAAAATACGAAGGCTTATACGTGTATATAAGCAGTATGATAATTCAGATTTGTGACGAAATGTTAATATAAATAAAGCCTACATTTAACAGTTACTTAATACCCACTAAAAGAGGACCATTGTGTAATCGAATTGTTTACTGTCTTCGTTACATAACCAATAAATAGCTCGAACAGGTCAGAACATAGAAAGCCACCAAATGCGATGGCCAATAATTAAAAAAAAAACTACCCACATACTACACCCCCGCCATGTTACATTGTTGTACTTTGTTTGTTTCGCTTGATGTCAATATTTCGATGGGCAGAATTTAAACTATAGTTTAATGTACACAAGTAACGACAAATACATTCTGAAAATGGGCACTCTCTCAATTAAGTTACGTAACAAACATGGCTTTTAAAATTAGATTTTTACATCTTGGGGTCCTTCCTCCCGAATACAATGTTTTGAGAGGGATATGAAACAAATTTTTGATAGATTAATTTGATATTAGATTGAATTTTCAAGATACTAACTTGAATTTTTAAAACACTAACATGAACTTTCAAGATATTAACTTGCATTTTCAAGATATTTACTTGAAACGAAAGGCTCAAGTCTGTAGTGCGCAAAGGGCATGTATGTTGTTGTTGTTTCTTAGTTGTATTTTACGTCCGCTTCCACCGTGGTGTATGGGGACCTATTCTTATTTAAGATGTGTGGATCAAAATGTTAATAACAAAACCTAGTCTTTTATATTGAGTTCTTTTGTACAATTTGGAAAATAGCTGATCACTAACGTTTGACGAACTAATGCCTAGGTCCCACTGGGGGAAAATCATCGGCGATATGGAAATAAAACAAATTTTTCCCCAAACAACGGAGTAGTCCCGTAAGAAATGGAAGTTGTTAAGCATTCGGGGTTGTCCGGGAGAACTGCGAAAAATTTCAAAGCTTTTTTTTTTTTTGCATTGGAATTTTTACCGATGTGTTCCCTACTTATCGCCGGGAAAACTGGCCGTGGAGGCATTCCTGGCGCTTTCCAGATGGATCCGCATGGATCGCGATGCCCAGTGGGACCTAGGCATTATATAAAACTAGGCTTAACAGTAACACGCGCTAACAAGTGTCACTACTTGAACTTACGCAACTTATTAATATTTCAATTGTTGATTACTTATTATTTTATCCTTATTATTTCGGCAATAATGTTTTACGTTATGCCAGGTAAAAACTTCGAAAATTCATTCAGAAATGATATAATGACTAGATGGCTTGATTTTTTAACATCGAACGGCTTTCCTGTACAGGTCATCGGGTGTTTTGTCAAAGGTATGATGATGATAATAGTAAAACTTGCTTTCATTATCGTTGAAATAACAACTTATTTCTCCCATGTGACCATATTATGATGTGTATGGTAGACGTAGATCAACCGAGGACTTGATACGCTAGTTGTCCAATAAACACTAACCGAGGATTTGATACACAAAATCATACTTTTCATTTTTCAGATCACACACTCGAAAGATACACCCTAACTGTAGAATACCGCCTAACGCGGAGCACCTCAGATCGACCCGACATTCAAATGAGATATTAAATCCGGGCTTCTGAACATCGTTATAGTCTTGGATTTAGTTAAAAAAAAAAATCCTCGGTTCAACCGAGGACGTACTCGGTTGACACAGGTCCACGATTAGAAGGTGTGTATTCAGATGTGTGTCCTCGATATACACCATATACAAACGCACCCACACACACCCACACACACACACCTACATACATACATACACACACGCACTTAAATATAGAACATATAGGATACATAATGATTAATCTAGAGATTTAGGTGATTGTACAGTGTGCAGGGCTTGAAAAAACGTAAGTTGTTTTATGGACATTGAAATCTTTTTGATGACAGAATAAATTGTTGGACTAAATTTTGTTGACCTAGACAACTGATTGTTTTATTGTTATGTTGAATGTTATGGATTGTCTGTTTCCTTGTATCAGAATGTAAGAGGCATATGAGTAAATAGTGTTCGGGATCTTCGAATTGTGACCACAGAGGCAAGCAGGGCAATTATCGACGTGTCTGAGGAATTTATGGCCTTGTAGATTTGAGCAGCATAATCTTAGTTTACTATGGAGTATTTGTAATTTTCCTTTCCCTAGATAGTAATATAGTGGCACAATGGTATCTAATTTGTTTAGTGAATTTCCTAAGATAGCAAGGGATCGAGAGTTTCTAATTTCAACGTTAAGTTTGTTTCATTCTCGTATACTGCATCTGTTCTGCATCTGATTTCCTTTAGTTTATCTTTGTTTCTAAGGGTATAATTAATAGGAGTAGAGGAAAGTTCTTATAGGTCAGAGAGATATGATGGCGCGAGGTTGTTAATATTTTTATACAATAATTTTCATTTATGACGTCAGCGTCTTTCCGAGAGTGGAACAAACCCAGTCTCTTTATAGAGTAAGGCATGGCTAGTACCTCTAATTGTAGGGATTCTAGTTTGTTAGTTAAGTAATCGCTGCACCCATCCCAGATAATATCGCCATAATCAAAGTGTGGAAGAATAAAAGAACAATATATTGTGTTTAAAGAATTTTCTATTCAATCGATATTTTAGAGAGCAAAGGGAAGTTACTAGTTTGGATACTTTGCTTACAATGCTATCTATATGAATATTCCATTTACAGTTAGGTTGAAAGATTAGACCTAGATGTTTATGTTCACTTACTTCTTTGATTTTTACTTGGATCATAAATAATGATGGTTTAACTATGTGGGGGTTTAGTAGTAATAGTCAGTGTCTAGGTTTTTAGTTGGTTAAAAGTAACTAGCCATGTCTCTGCCCAATTTTTGATTCGATTTACGTCATCGTTGATGGTATCAGCACTTGCCGCTGGGTCTTCAATTTTTAAGTATAAAAAGAGATATTGTCAGGAAATAAACTGATGTTTGTATTTATATTGTTCACAATTTCATTCATGCATATAAAGAATAAAAGAGGGCCTAGTACCGATCTCTGTGGAACACCAGTAAAAAAGGTCCATATTATTCACCACATTGGTGGAACACCTAACGTAGACAACTGTAACTCCAACCACGTGTGTTTTCTTCGGGTACTTCGGTTTCTTTCCACTGCTACAGACACTTACGCAGAAGCGAATTATTGAAATAAAATTGAACTATTGTTAAGTCCCGAAATGACCTAGTTTATGTCGAGTGGACGTTAAACCCCGGTTTTCTTTCTCACATATCTGTAACGTAAACTAACAACACGGTCATTTTTAGTGAAACATCCTTCAATAAGAATTGTCAAACATGCAATACTGATTCCTATCACAATAACATAGAACGCGCTCTGAATGTCGACTAGTTCTATCTGAGATGTGGTTGGCAAGTCTGGACAGGTACCTTGTTTAGGCCACCAGGGCCGTTTTAATATTTGGGCGACTCCACTTTCCAGTATTTTCCTGATTCTGTATGGAAAAATGACAGTATATTTTAATAAAATTAATTGACACAATTACACCTTTAACAATACACAACAGACATGCAATCAGATACAATCTTCGGGGCGTATGTGTACAAAGAAAAGTAGCAGAGAATACATGTCATGTCACACGTCGGATGTGGTAAGTGATTTGGTGGCACCGACGACCTATATCGCTACACATCTTATCCCTTAACCGGTCATTGTCGACTAATCACCACAATGTTATACAGGTAAGTGGTCGACCACAGTAAGAACCTTAAATACTTATGAATTATTCCGAATTGGATTATATCGATGACACCCATTCTGAAGACAATATTTGTGATGAAAAGGATTTAGAATGATTTGCAAATTATAGATCAACCTATCCCCAGCAACTTTTTTATTGGTGTCAAGAGTCCATCACTTATAATTACTCGGCAGTAGTCGGTTGAAATAGGCATACAAAATATTTCACGTCAGCCTTTATTTAGCCTGACCACTTGACGTCATAACGTCAAAATGACGTCGACCGGTTAAGGGTTATGAACCAAAAGCTCTATAAAAAGGCGTGTGTAATATTCGAGTTTGGTCAATATTTAGTTACTTACAAATTTAATAAACATAAGTTACCATGATACGACAAGAACGCCTCCCTCCCCCACCCAGGAGATTTACTCAGCCAGGGTTGTTTTTGTCTTGTTTTCCTTTTAAGTTTCAAAGTATATTTGTTCAAGAATACCAGAATAGTTAACAACTACAAATAATCATGCGAAAATCTATAGGGACCATCATCACTCCACTGCTTTTAATAATTTCTGAAGATTTTATGAAAATCAGTTGTACTCTGCAAGGTATTGTAAGGTAAGTCGCACTCTGCAAGACAGGTCGATTGAGGCCATAATTACCACAATACAAGCTAGTTTGATAAAAATGAAAAAAGAAATAATTAACTTTGTGCAGTGAGTATAACAATGTCCATTATAACAGATCGTATGTCATCTGGAATTGTTTTTGCAAACATTATTATGAAATGAAATAAAATGGGGTTTAACGTCCTACTGTTCTGCTCCGAACTGGGCCAATGAAGACGGGCATACGCCATACAGTGTGCTATGAGGGAAATTTTGCCCGGACAGCGGTACTACGGCCTACTCTTTTACGAATTCCAACTGTCAAGGGATCTTTTACAGCTGTCCTTGTCAGGCCCTCCGTCCTGCATCACTGACAAGGGGGAGCCACGCCGGAAAATCTGGATGGGGCCATACTGTCCAGCTCTACTACGCTAACTTATTTATACATGGACGAGACATCTGTAGTAGCCTTTTGACATTGACACGTGAAAAAAAAAACACGTTGGCCTGTTAGCGACTGATGCCATAATGATCGAAATCAAAGTAAATTACTTTGAACAAACTTATAATAAGTATAATAGTTATATTGTAATTGTCTTTTTCTTTACATTAAATATAGTGGTCTACTTCAATGAACAGCACTTTGCACACCTTCCCAATAACTACAAATATAAATTTAGAAAAACTGACATACTCATCGTCAAAATATTGCAAATATGGCGAATTGTTCTGTAAGGCAAAAGCATAGCCCATCGGATGGAACAGTTCTTTTAAGATCGTTAGTTTACAGGATTTGGAGGATCTGGTTTCGGCTGTTATCTTGTCGGCGATAAATCCATAATCTTCAGAAATTACTTTATTAAGATGATATTCTTGGTCGTAATTCAAGACGCCAGTGTCGGTTTTGTTAAATTCTTGAATACCTTTCCATATTTTTTGGTAAATGGTTAAGTTGGAATTCTGAAGAATAAATAAAAGGCATAAAAATATATAACCGATGAAGATGTCCACGAACTCGTATCTTGTTATAATATATAGCCATAACCATATATACTTAGGTATAGAAGACTGTGTAGAACTCTGATTCTATGGCACCCAAACCATCTTTTTAATACGAAAAGGGAGCTGCGGTGGCCCAGTATATAAGCGCTGACTCACTAACGAGGAGGTTATGGCCGAGAAAATTCCGCGGAATTTTCCAGCGTGCTTCCTCTTTAGCGGTGGGTGCCGGTTGGAGGGCTTGGCAAGGACAGCGTCTGGTCATGTGGATTAAGCGTTGGATAAAAGCAAATTAAATGGTGACAAACATAGGGACCAACATATGGTACAGTTTAATTTCAATAATTACGATCTAATGCACACGCGTTAGCCCACTCCACTCCGTCCCTCGCCAGTCCCCCGCCACAGTGCCATAGCAGATTGGTCCATACATGCAACGGAAAAGATGGATGCAACGTGTTAAAACAATTCTCGGTAGCTATATCATTAGGTTTCATTTGAAAACACCGTTGAACCAAATACATATGTAACTGCTGTATCCAGTACAACAAGAAATGAGGAAAAGCGGAAATTCAAAGTATGGTCCAAAAAGAACACTAGGCTATTTCGAGTCCCTAATTTTGTTGGTAATAATTGAGTACTGCAAAAGTGTTTTGTAAAGCATGCGAACTGACTTACTTTAAACAACGTAATCCACGAACTACCACCAAGCGTTCCCCATTTATAATCTTTTTGGGATGCCAGATCATTTAGTGTTTCAAATGGTAGCTTCTCCTTGGATACTGTTAGGAATGCTATCAGATTACCACTGTAGGTGGCTACTAATATTGAGCAAATCAACCACCAAGCTGCCAACATTGATCTCCCGGACATGGACGAAGGCATTCCGGTGCCACCTTGAACAAAATGATATAATCACTATAACAACCCCGAATTTATCAATCCAGAGCGACAAATATACAAATGAAATGAAATGAAATGGGGTTTAATGTCCTACTGTTCTGCTCCTAACCTGGGCTAATGAAGACGGGCATACGCCATACAGTGTGCTATGAGGGAAATTTTTCCCGGGCAGCGGCGCTACGGCCTACTCTTATATCGAATTCCAACTGCCAAGGGATCTTTTACGTGCACGGCAATGTGTACACGGAACCTCGGATTTTCGTCCCATCCGAACGACTTGACTGCTGTCCTTGTCAGGCCCTCCGTCCTGCATCACTGACAAGGGGAAACCACGCCGGAAAATCTGGATGAACTTTCTCGGCCAATGCAGGGATCGAACACCCGACCTCCAGGCTGACAAATATACAAGTGAATATTTTTATTTCAAATGTTCTTGAAATATGCACCCATAACTGATTAATGCTATGTAACAAACGTAAAAATACATGAGCATAAATGATTTTACCATTCAGTTGGAATTTTGTCCTTCTTTAGCATAAGAAAAGATACCAAATTTTAATGTCTGATTAAACCAAAACAAAACTAAAATGGGACCTTACTTCGGTGGAATAAAAAAAAGAACAAACATTAGACCACTTTTACTATGGATATCGAATTCTAAGATGTGTAACTTACAAGTTGATATTTATAAAATATATTTTGATGAAATTAATTTCAGGTTTCGATTAGAAATTGGAATTTGGCAATACAGGTGTCTAATTCGTTAACGCGACCCATTGACCAAGGTTGGAAAAAATATATTTCTTTAAAGTAAATGACAATATATTGGGCTAAATCGGAGGAGAAAAGGGTGAATCGAGCTATAAATAGTTACGTATTATTTACAGCAATGGAGGCCCAAGGAAACCTGTTGATCCAAGGACCCAGGGCTACCCTGTTTGCCCCTGGTCGACATGAATACTAAATAAACATACCTTGGTTTATCAGTGCACCAAATAAGTATAAGACAAGCCCCTGAAAGGTAGATCTGGGTCGCTTAGTTCTCTTATAGAAAGGATTTAGGCGTTCTGTAGTATATAGTAACAGGATAACACCACAAAAAGAGGCAGCAATACAGACATAAACCTGCCATTTAAAGGGCGCGACCAGTTTTCTCCATTTACTTTTGTTTGCATCAGGCAATCTGAACACCACAGCTGTGTAAGCAAGGTAAAGGGGGTAGACAAAATCTAAAACCCGTTCCCGTCCAGGTGTAACTGACATTGGTCCGATAAACAGATCAGCTTCCTAGATAAAAAGATGATAGAATCGTTGATCATATAAGTATTTATAGTCGATCGAAATAAATTATACCGACAGTTTCTTCCGTTTATCTAAAATGAATAGAATGTAATCAAACTTAATGGCAACGACTGAAGTTCTTCTTTAATTACTTTAAATAAACCAGCGGTTGCCAGCAGGCAAGATACGCCCACATTTTGCAAGAGGAGGATAGAGAACGCAAGCTAAAAAGAAATCCAGAAAGTTATGGTCTGAAATGCGCAAATATCAACTGGGACTGAGAACTTTGGGATATAAAAATATATTTTAAGTTTCATGAAAATCGGAGAAACATTTTGGCCTCTAGAGGGCCCACAAACTTCGTATTACATACTTTTACAAACTTTGTGTAAAAAGAGCGGCCATTTAGTCGGGCAGTTTCGTTTTGATTTTCCCAAAATTCAAATTCAATCTTTATTATGGTGGAATGGTGATATATTCAAACGGTTTTTAAAATCGGATAAAAAAATTGTGACCAAGCAGCCCCCATTTGTCAGGCAGTTTGAGTCAGGTTTAACGGTGATAAGTTTTAATGTTTTTTAAAATTGGATAAAAATTGTGACCTCTAGAGGTTCCACAAGCTGAAAACGTGATTTTTCGTAGACTCAGGGGCCATAATCCAGAAATTTACGGTCTGATATGCGCAAATATCAACAAGAACCCCGATCTCTGGATTATAAACATACATTTCAAGTTTCGTCAAAATTGGATAAAAATTGTGACTTCTAAAGTGTTCACAACCTTGGTATTACATACTTTTACACTATTTGCGTACAAGGATCGGCCATTTTGTCTGGCAGTTATGGTCAGATTTTTACGAAATTCGAACTCAACGGTGTAACTGTGATATATGACGTTTTGTACAATCAGGGGCCATAATCCATGAAGTTATGGTCCGATACATGCCCATACGCTGCCCCTTATCTGACCATCCGCCTTGGCCCACTGACAAGAAGGAAGCACACCGGCCAATGTAATCATGTACGTACTTGCAATAATAGTGTGAACAATTTATCTTACCCGTCTGACAAGTTGTCCAACTGCACCAGTCCATGACCCATTTACATTTCTTCCCCATTCTCCGTCTTTTGGTTCAGTCATCTGTACACTATAGTTATAGCGTAAAGAGAACCTTTTACATTTAAAGATACATTCCCACAAAAGTATTTATAAGGCAGTAATTTCCAATCAAAGTATGGCGTGTTTGGTTTATATGGAAAGTGCAGCAGATGTTCAATTGTACTAGACAAATACGGAATTCCCTGAAAATCACTCACCAGAAACAAATATTTACACGGAAATTTTATACATTAGTTCCAATGAAATTCTCACACAAAACCTTTTTTGATCCGAAAATAAGTAATCAACATTTGCCACTGCTACAGTTCCAAGCTGAAGTAATTTGGTAAACCTTTTCCGAACTTTTTTCATGAAAACAGAAAGGAAGGAAATGGCAGCAAAATGGGATTTAACGTCAAGTCAACACAATGTAGTTCATTTTGGGACTAACATATCGCTGGGTCAGAGCAAAAACATCGTAAGTGACAAATTTTACGAAAACTGTTTTTGATTGTTTTGGAGTACGAATACCTATATCCACCTTTTTGGGGTATGAAAGAATGAATTCATCAATTTTTCTCGGAGATATGGCTTCCCCCAAAATGTCGTATGTGCATAAATATCATATTGGTGAGAGCAAGATCATCGTATCTGACTTGTTTAGAGCAAGAACATTGTAAGTGAGATAATCCATCTCTCTGACTATGATGTCATAGCTGATATGACGTCATAATTTATGACATCACAGCTACGTTCCCATGGTAACAGATTGGAGGTGATTAAAATCATAGAACTAGAATACTAACGGGAACGCCCACCGTGTGACGTCACTACCTTATGTGACGGCGGGCCTCTGACGCTGATATCGGGCACAGCTTACTTCCGGTTTCTGCTCGCACTAACAAAATGCCTGGCGCGAATTGTGTTTTGTTCGGATGTTCCGCCTGCAATAAAAGAAATCGGGGTTGATCATTCTATCGCTTACCCAAAAACAACATAGAGTGGAGAGAGAATCATTACGTATCATACAGTCTACCAGATCAGACCCGATAAATGACAAGACCTTGACAATATGTTCAAGACACGTTGAGCCGGATTATTTCGTTGAAAAAGTAAGTGAAAACTCAAATCAAAAGAAATTAATTATGTAGATTCTAGTTGGCAGTCCACCCTGACAACCTACAATGAAGTTAAGTTAAACCCATACTAGCTGAATGTCTGTATTTTCATGTTTGCCCGTTAGATTTTACCCTTTCTCTCATCAAAGTTGTATGCATATAGGTTTGTTTACATTAGTGCCGTAGCTAGGCCTAGTCTACTTGCAATTTGTTATGAAATTGACGAATACTACACCCGATGAGTGTGTGACAGCATGACGATTCTCTCTCAACAATCTTCTTTTACTTTAATTTTATGAATTACTAATTATTATTTTTTTTTAAAGGTCAAAGTTTTAACTGAGCAGCTCCATAAAAATTAAAATTGTATATTTATTTATGACTGACCTTGACCTGTCAAATCCTTTTACTTTTAAATTCCGAAATAATCTTGTTCCCGGTATGAATAATCAACAAGCATGGAAAAAAAATTAATTATATCTGAACCTTTTGTTTTGTATGTAGGAACCTTTTTATTTTGATTTTATGAATATTTCAGATGTTTACAAAAATTCTGGGTCCACATATCGAAGATTAAAAGAAGGGTTAGGGAGACTATCAACCTTAATTCTTCTACAGAAAAGCGTAACAACAAAGAAATTGAATCCAAGGAAGTCACCGGTAACTTAAATTTCTGTTAACTTAATTATGAATATGAACATTCGATGTTTCCTTATAAAAGATCAGTATATGAACATTTAATTCATCAATATTAAACAGACATTATGCAAGAGCTAAATCTGTCAATTGCAGGTCTTTCTTTAGGCCTGGAATGTTATCTAAATTATTAATTAGACATTAATTAACTTATCCAGACCATAATCAACGCTCGATGGCATCGCTAGCCTGTGATATATACTGAATTAGAGCCCAGTCTGCTACTTCTGATTAAATCAAAAAATCGATAATCGAGACCATGGTTTTTTTTTATCGTACCGACTATAGTAATGCTGATCGAGGCTAGGCCCAAAATTTAATCATTAAATACTTGGTTCAGGGTGGATGAATTTGACTGAAATTTTCAGCAAATTCCCTTTACATTATCTATTTTTTAACTATTATAATGAGAACTGCTAGCTCTTTCTGTAATCTCCCATAATTTTATTTATAAATACTTGTATGAATATCCGATTCTTCTTTATATTTACTTTTGTAATTTTTTCGATTTTATTCAGAAACCGAGAAAATTATGAATACTTGTATCAGAATCCAATTCTTCTTGTTTTAATTGAATTTTATGAATTTGTCTATTTTATTCAGAGTCCAAGGAAAACCGAGGAAACTCAATGTTTACATAAGAACGAAGTAACCTTTCAGATGTTGCAGAAATCATTTTTATGTCAAATGTCTGCTTTGTGGCTATGTCAGTCTTCAAGTGATTATATCTATCTGTTTAAAACTGAAGATAAAAGTGTAACATACCATTTAACCATTGACAAGGACTTGAATTGTGAAGTACAATATAATAATTTTTGTTTCCTGTTCAAATTAAAGTTACATCTATAGATTTACTTATAAGAACTGTTGAGAATATGAAGATATGTGGGGGCATAACATCAAAACATTTACAGTCTTATTCTCAATGTCAGCCTACAACTGTAAGATATATCAGACAGGTTGATATTTTCATGAACACAAATAAGTCAACATAGAAATTACGAAAGGTGTGTACTTGCTTCTGTATGTAATAGTTTTGTTGAGGACACTCAAAAAGAAATTTGTTTAAGTTGTCGACAGATTAACAGAGATTTACAGAGAAAGTAAATAGCAATAATAATAGTTTATTTCACATATATGGCTACATAGCACATTGCATATTCAGATTTTGATTGACAATATATAATTCAAAGAATCAATATTTACATACTTGTAAATGTAATTTACAATTCAAAAATAGCTTAGCAATAATATATAGTTGCCATATAAACGAGCAAACAGTGATAGAATATAATCATGTGGTATGAATTTGATTAAAATGTAGATTTCACTCCATTTTGATTTATTTCTTCCAACTGACTCGACTCCACATAGATTTGAGGTCAAATGAGAAGTTATAGAGTTAAACTGTGATCAGTGATGTCAGGTATTTTATTTACAGCACTTTGCTGCAAGCATTTCACACAATGAAAGTAACAAAAACACAGATTATACAGATAATTTCATACAACAAAATAGAAAGTGTATAATTAAACTAAACATTTCCTGGCTCTATTGGAATTAATATCAATATTGGAAGTATAAAAATATAAATGTGATTGAATCTAGGATTAAATCTAGAACTTAATCAGCAGTGTTCTACAGATTTTTTATTTCTTGTTATTACTGTATTGTAGTTAATAAGTAATGAAAAGAAAACAAGGCCCCAAGTTCACAAAGCATTCTCAGTCTTAAGTTAAGGTTTTACTCAAAATTGTTTGTCTTATTTTAACTCAAATATAGCACTTTACTAACTATTGTTGTTTTAATGTAAATATATCAATAAGAAACTGTGCAAAGTTTTGTGTTTCTGGATCAAAGATATTTCTCAAAAACAGTGATTGAAGGTTGAGCAAATTCTTAAGTCTGGGAATGCTTTGTGAACTTGGGGCCAGGTTGATAATAGTAAACAAAATATATCGAGACGCAATGAAATAGCACCTCTGAGATGACGTGGCATAACTTTGCACCTTCCACAAAACCTAGCTTTTTAAAAGCTGCATTATATACCCCACGTGTGTACCAGAAAAATCAACATACTGATTCTGTTGGGTTTAATTTTTTTGATTGAGAATTGTTCGGGGTGCGTTTACGCAATCTTCAAAACATTCTCACATGTTATCATCGTAATATGATGTTGTTACATCCTTAATTGCAAGATTAAAGCAAATCTTTAAAACAAAATTGAGCTGAAAAGTACTAAGTAGGGCGTTAAACCTGGATTCATTTCAAACAAGATTTACATTCATCCATTTATAAAAGTGATGTATTATTTTTATTGCATCTCAGTATAAAATATTAACAATGATAACAAAATTTATATAAATTTTATACAGGTGCACAACTTGTAATGTGTGAGCTTTATAAATGTATTAAATTATTCTTAAATATACATTATGTAAGATTTTGATAAAGAGCTAGCCATTCTTGCTATAATAGTTCGAAGATAAAAAATGTAAAATGACTAATTTAAAAAATTTCATTCAAATTACTCTATTGCGAGCGAAGATATTAGCCTTTGAAGGCTATTTTAGAATATTTCAATTAATTGATGATACAAATTTCATCTTAACACACCTTATTTAAAAAATTCAACATAATGGTTTGAAACGTCTAACGTAAACCTTTTCAAATGAAACTTCGATTTAAAAATATTTTCGAACCCTCTCGACAATTAAAATAGGATGTAATGGTTTATTTACACAACAGGTGGGACACTTAAACATCTAGTACTTAGAGATATTATTTATTTTCTGGAGCTTTCAAGCCAGCAAGAGTGTTATTGTCCCTTTAAAGTAAATATTATACAAAATAAAAGAAACTGTTCCAAAGCAATTTGGGATCACGTGGCTAAGTGGGTAAGACGCTGGCTCGCTAGCCTGGAGGTCGGGTGTTCGATCCCTGCATTGGCCGAGATTTTCCGGCGTGGTTCCCCCTTTTCAGTGATGCAGTAAGGAGGGCCTGACAAGGACAGCTGTCTAATCCTTCGGATGATACGAAAACCCGAGGTCACCTGTATACATTGGAATGCACGTAAAAGATCCCGTGGCAGTTGGAATTCGATATAAGAATAGGTGATAGAGCCGCTGCCCGGGCAAAATTTCCCTTAAATCACACCTTATGGCGTATGCCCGTCTTCATTAGCCCAGCATAGGAGCAGAACAGTAGGACGTTAAACCCCATTTCATTTCATTTCCAAAGCAATTTGATCGTTTGAGAAGAAAAAAAAAATATATAGACATGGTCGAGACTATAATGAGTTTCATAACTTGCCCATTTGCTACGAACACTATGTGACTATATGCATGTATGTTGTATATGTAGAAAACTTACGGATGCTACTGGAACGACAGGTTGAGATGTCTCAAACAAATCTTTAGCAAAGAAAAGCTGTAGTAAAGAATACACATTTTTTTTTTTATAAACAATATTTTTATTCAAGATGTCTGAATGGGATTGGGGAACAGGCTTAGCCTATGTAAAACCCCTTGTTATAAACAAGAAAAGGGCACTGGGAAACCAGCCAAAACTGGCACGGACATGCCAAAGGCTAACAACAATATACACAAAACAATAAATAAAAAAAATAAAATGTGAATGTCATCATAATTTATTAATAATAATTTTATAATATGTAGTAGAAAATGATACACAAACGTGTGTTCGGATAATTTAATGTCCGAAAATAAATGGTTTATACTCCCGATGGTATGTTATATAACTAATTTAAAAAAAACTCATTAAAATTATGAATAACTTACATCTATTACACCGTCAAGTTCTTGAAATTCCAGGACGTCGTACGCTTCTGCCATGTTGACATACGGCCGGAAGTTACTTGTGCCTTATTGACTTCGCGCATGCGATGTACAACATAATTATGTCATCACCGTTATACGTCACCGAGTGGGCGTTCCCGTTAGTGTTCTAGTTCTATGTTAAAATAAACAGTTTTTAGGCTTACTTTCCTTCAATCTCAGATGGGGATATTGTTGTATATTGTGCTCATAAAACAGGAGATGATAAAATATTAAAACCGAAAATCCTATAAAAAAAACTACGAAATGTGAACATCAGAAAATGTTAATAGAGCCAATTATACGGAAAAAACTAAGTCATTGATAAGTAAGCCAAAAAGAAAACTGATCTGCTAAAACTTGCAGAATATCTACAAAGTGACTGTCGACATTTCTAGAAATGTATTTCCGATATCTATATAACAGTGTTAGCAAGACATGTTAACAATTGCATTAGATTTTTGCATCAATATAGCCTACCTTTAGTAGCCTATGATAAAAACTGTATTAACTCATTCGTAATACTTCTATAGTTGCATTAATATATATATATATATATTGTATATATATGAAAAATGACAAACAAGTATTTAATGATGATTTGAAGATCACTAAAAGCGCCTCCCCACTCCCCAATCACACCATACTCAAATACCAGTGCTGGTAAAGTAAAGCCAAAAGAAAACTTGCAATGTTTTTGCACTAAACTAATCGAGTGAATATTAAATTTAATTCAGAGCAAAAACATCGTAAGTGATATTTTGGACAGAATGGGTGTAAATAATTGAAAATTGTACTTAAACATTTCAGTTACCCTTAATATCATAAGTCAACTGGAGAAAATTGAAATATATTTTAAAAAAATTGGATTTACCAGAAATGTTTCAACCTTTAAAGTCGTTTTTCTCCACAATTAAAAAATGCCACTTACGATGTTTTTGCTCTAACCCAACGATATGTTCCTGTTTTATTTTAATAATACGCTTGCGCTTAGGGGTCTTTAACGCAGGAAAACCCGACGAAAACCCAAGAGGTTAATCATGCGACCATACTCGTTGTCAAGTACAAAAGTGGGGTCGAAACCACGTAACTTGATTCAATGTCAGAACTTATGATCTAAAACGCTCGATTTCACGAAAACCATAGTAACTCCGAAAATAATACTAATCTCACGTGGAAAACATAGTACGAGGTAATTGCGAAAAAACAGTTAGACGCACAAGACAGAGTTCATTACCTGAAATTTAAAGACGATTGTAAAACCTGTAGAATATCCATATTATATCCACTAAAGTCTATTGTTCCATTTTTATTGGAAACTCTCTGAGTGAAAGGAAACCACTGAAATAAGAAGTGTAACATGGGTTATGAATGCTTTACCTAAACCTGACAGAAAATGTTAATTCAAACCCCCTTCATCCATTCTAGACAAAACAATCAACATGAGAGAGAGAGAGAGAGAGAGAGAGAGAGAGGGAGGGAGGGGGGTCAACGTCCATCAATAGGTAGAAACTAGGGCACTTCGGGAATAACATATTGTTCAATTTTATTTCAATACTTTAGTTGCGCTAAGTGATATTTAGCAGTGGATCTCGAGAAAACCAGAGGTTGGACAGTCGGCCCTAGTCCTTGTCACGTACAAACTGTGAATCGAAACCACGCTATTTTACTCAGCGACCGATCGTGTAATCTATAGCGCAGGCGTAACACCGTTTGGCCACCCAAATCCTCTAAAAGAGAATATTTATAAGAGAGAGAGAGAGAGAGAGAGGGAGATAGGGGGGGGGGGTAACAGCCACTCGATAGGTCACTTTGGGACTGACATGTCATACGATATTATGTTATGGCAGTAGTGTTGGTCGAAACGTGCACAGTGTGTAATCAATCTAGATATGCCGGCATTGCGTTATGCCTTTCAAAATCATGTAACTAACTAACTAAGTAGAAACACGCTGTTAAATGAATTGATAATATTAATCCTTTCTATTTTACTATAATATGTTATACTTTACACTAAGTATCGAAGTTCTGAAGACTCTGTTGTTAAATCCATACTTTGTATTAGGAAACATAATAACATCAGGAGATAGATTAACGTTTTCTGTATAATTAACATGACCAATTGGACTTAACAATCGCCCTTCTGTTTTATATAATAAAGTATATATTTCTGCTCTCCAACAATCTCTATACGTTGTTAGATCCTAGAAAAAAAAGATAAATTACGAAAAAAAATCTTACAACATCCTCTTCAATATATGTTGTATGTTAGAACTAAAGTATGTGCCAGATCTAATATTTATCCGATGATTCCATCTCTCTTCTAGGGTAGCATACGTTGGACCGACTCCAGTACTCATAGCTACACTTTTTATTTGAGTATAAGGATGAAGGATATGAAAGAAACTATTCAAAATGATGAATTTTCTCATTTCCAAAAACATTTAAGATATTTTGGCATTTCAAAAAACACATAACATGTTGTTTTAAAAATTAATACAATCCACTTACATTCTTCAATGTATCAAAAACTGCAGTCATATTTGCTTTTATTAGCGATCCTTGCTCTGCCGATTCATCTTGTACATATAGTAGATTCGTGATTTTGGTTTTAATAGTGGTTACAAATATCTATAATTAACAAAATGATCTACTATTAAAATTAAATGGGGTTTCACGTCCTCTTTTTCTGCACCGAAAGACTAGTTAGGATGTAAATATCGCCCGGCCTACTCTTATATCGAATTCCAGTTGTCAAGGGTTCTTTTACGTGCACGCCAACGTGTACACGGGGTCTCGGTTTTTCGTCATGCTCAACTGACTTAGGGAAACCACGCTGTAAAATCCCAGAGAACGTTCTCGGCCAACACATTGATCGAACCCCGGACCCCATAGATAGCGAGCAGGCGTCTTACTCACTTAGTCACAGTGGCGCCCAATATTGAAATAGGGCACATAATTCTGCAATACCATATCAAAACAATACATTTAATTACCAGCATAATTTAAACCAAGAGATTATTAACTCATGAATGCGATGAAACATCTAATACACATGAAACACACAGGAATATTAAAGAGCATAAAGCTCGAAATCAACAGCTCGTTATCAAAAGCACGAATTATTGTTCCTTTCCAATCAATATTGGGAGGGGGATAGCTGAATGGTTAACACGTGCGCGCTGTATCATAAGGTCTGTCATTGAGTGGTTACGAATCCCCGGTTGTACGTGACAAGGAGTAGGGTCGCCTGTACAACCTCGTGGGTTTTCTGCAGGTCCTCCAGTTTCCTTCCACTGCTAAAGACCCTTGCGCAAGCGAATTATTGAAATAAAATTAAACCATGTGTTATTCCCGAAATGACCTAGTTGTGTCGAGTAGAGGCTAAACTACATTTCTCTCTCTCTTTGTGACCAGGCGCCTTGACCAACGAGGCCAAACGTAAGAGCGTAATTAAAATGAGAAACCGTTGGCTGGACTAACCAGAGGCGAGCGACCGCCATTCAATTTGGACTACACACGTATTTCGGCGAACACAACTAATTAGAAATTACAAAAAAAATGCTAAAATAAATAAATGTAAATCAGTTTATATACATTCATATTACATTCATATATTCTTTTTGACTTATTTCGTTGATATTGTTTTCGAAAAGGGTGCCGGGTTGGATCGCCGAATGGTGCTGTGTCATAAGGCCTGTCACTGAGTCAACTGACGTGGTTTCGAATCCCCGGTTGTGCGTGACAAGGAGTAGGGTCGCCTGTCCAACCTCGTGGGTTTTCTCCGGGTCCTCCGGTTTCCTCCCACCGTAAAGACCCCTACGCACAAACAAATTGTTGAAATAAAACTAAACCATATGTTAGTCCCAAATGACCTAGTTTCTGTCGAGTGGACTTTAAACCCTATTTCTCAATCTCTCTCTCTGTTTTCAAAACAAATTGAGATTTAATTCCATTAATTATGAATTTAAATCTACGTCATTATTCCTCTAGTTAAGGTAGGCGCAGAATAACTTACCCTTTTAAGCCCATCTATATTCCTCAATTCCGTAAAAGGAAAATTTACTATAGCCATATTATCAATCTTCAGATTGCATCCATTCTCGAGAATAGTTGTACCATCTATATCTGTTATCAACCATTTTGAGAATAACCCCAAAACTGTTGCACCACGGTTATTTTCATCAAAATTGTTAGCCTTAAATAGGGCAAAATACAAAGTATATAAATAGTAAACCGGTCGGGGTGGGGGAGAGAGACAGGGGGCGGGGGGTAGCGTCACTAAAATGGCTATATGCTATACACAGACTTGGCATACCGTTAAGTGGCGGCTGTTAGATTTGAAATTGCATAGAGTTTCCCATTCATGATTCTTTTTAGCAATAAATGTAATCATGGGTTATGAATGAAATGGGGTTTACTTTTCTGCACCGGCTGGGCTTGTGGAGACGTACATACCTCATACAATGTGCTATGGGGAAAGTTTTTCCCTGACCCCGGGTACGGCCTACTCTGATTTCGAATTGCATCTTTCAATGGTTCTTTTACGTTCACACCAATGTGTACGCGGGGCCTCGGTTTTCATCCCATCCCACTGCCATAGGCATGTTCCCTGCAAAGCCCACCGTGCCACAGGTGTAAACCACACCTGAAAATCCTGAGGAACTTTCTCGGCCAAGACCGGGGGCGAATCCAGACCTCATGGTTACAATCCAGCGTCTAACTCACTGAACAACCGCGACTCACTGGTTGATTATTTTTTTAGGCTCTTGACTTTCAAGAAAATATGGGGGTTGGATGGCCGAATGGTTAGCATGCGCGCGCTGTATCATACGGTCTGTCATTGAGTCAACTGGCGGGGTTTCGATTCCCCGGTTGTACGTGACAAGGAGTAGGGTCGCCTGTCCAACCTCGTGGGTTTTCTCCGGGTCCTCCGGTTTCCTCCCACTGCTAAAGATCCCTACGCGCAAGCGAATGATTGAAATAAAATTGACCCATGTGTTAGTCCCGAAATGACCTAGTTTGTGTCGAGTGGACGTTAAACCCCATTTCTCTCTCTCTCTCTCTCTCTCTTCAAGAAAATATCTTTAACTGCAATATTTGCCTACCATACCTGATTAACAACAGTGTTTATGCAAGACTGTGAACACACCAGCAAGAAGTTTCTGGAATGGTAGTCTGTTACATTGTAAATCGTGTCGAAGAAGCTGATCAAATTCTCGGTTTTGTCTTTCAAACTATCAAAATTATACATTGTGGATTTAATTTGTGCATCACTTAGTAAATCTGTAATGTGTTCAACAGACAATTCTGGAATTTTGAAAAAGGCTAGCATTAATTAAAAAAGATTTGTTATTTTCACTTCATAACTGCTGTTACAATAATCAGAATGAATAACGCGATATGGTTATAGGATAAAGCACGAGAATGAGGTTATGCTATGGAAAGAAAGAGTGAAGAAAAAAACTCGAGAAAAAGAAAAACCGAGGCCGGCTGTCCGGGGTTTTTCTTTCGAGGGTTTTTTTCTTCCTTATAAACCGTTTATGTTTACATGTACGTAAAACGAGAATATTCCAGAATTCTAGTAAGAAAAACATTATAACATGTTTTCTTATGGGAAGAAAACCTACCCTTGAAGAATAACCTGTTACAGGTTTAAAGAAAACTTTCAGAAGAATAACCCCAAATTCTCCTATATATATTCAAAGCCGCCTCCCACTTTCAGACTGCAATTTATTCCGGGCATAGAATATACCCCAAAGATCAAAGAGATTTACTGTTATAGATTTATAAGCGCGTAAAATTGGAGTCGTAAGTGGACGAACCCTATCGATATTCAGCGTTACTCCACCCTCCGTTCTGGAGTTATGTCCCCGTCCCATTTTGTCGAAAACCTTATGAGCGCGATAGAGATAACTGTATTTAGCGAATCTTTTTCTCATATTATTGGGCGTGAAGCATTGGTGACCTGCGAGGACGAAACCTATTGCTATTCAATTCATAATCCTGCAATCTTTTCCGAAAACCTTGTGAACCCGATAGACGCTAAAGTATGTTTTGCAAGCATGAGAACACGGCATAGATCAGATTCCTTGAAAGCATCACATTTGGTCACGATTACGGATAAGATTCCGTCTGTGACGGTTTTTATTTCGAGACAAAGCTACTGTTTTGCGTTTATTTACAATAATGGCTTTATAACGTGACAAATAAGGTATATAAGCAACAAAATAACTATGTATACCCGTTTTCATATCGTAGATAAGAATAAGATGATTCCATTGTA